AAAGAATAAAATTGTAGCCTTATGGGATGAGTCAGGCGGGCTTGTTGAGGATTCTTTTACCTTAAAGAGAATGGTTGTGGACCTTTTCGCCGCATACATACAACTCTGATAGTCAATTCGGTTGTGTGCCCTATTGGGGATGTCTTTTCGAGTATGGAATCCTCCTGTTTCCGACCGATGGGTCGGGACCTTACGGAGTTGGAGGTTATCATGGCTCTCAAGAAAATGGCCCCTCAAAAATCGCCAGGCATAGAAGGTTTGCATGTTATTTTCTTTTAACAAAAATGGAATCATGTTGGCCATTCGGTTTGTGCTCAACTTACGGATATTTGGCATGGGCGTACAGTCCCCTCGGCGCTCAATAAAACTTTGCTCGTGTTGATCCCGAAGGTGGATAATCCAATGTCTTTGAAGCAGTTTCGACCCATTAGTCTCCTTAATGTCACTTATAAGCTGATGACTAAAGTGCTGGCATAGAGGATGAAGCCGCTTCTTCCCTCTCTGATCAATCTGGCCCAGACGACCTTTATCTCGGGTCGTCACATTACGGACAATATTGTGATTGCTCAAGAGCTCATTCACTCGATGCGTGGGATGAAGGGTAAGAAGGGTTTCATGGTAGTGAAGGTAGACTTGGTGAAAAAGGCCTACGATTATCTTCGTTGGGAAATTATCCATGAGACTTTGGAGCTTGTGGGGTTTCCATGAGTCTTTGTGGAGGAGGTGATGACTTGTGTTTCTTCAGCTACCATGCACCTGTTGTGGAATGGTGAGGCTAGCGAGGAATTTACCCCGTCTAAAGGGGTCAGACAATGCAACCCCATTTCTCTTTATTTGTTTGTCTTGTGCATTGAGCAGCTGACCCATATGATCGATAAAGCAGTAGAAAATGATGAATGGAAACCGCTCACGGTCAGGCAGGGCCAGATGGCGATTCCATATCTAATGTTTATCGATGATCTTCTCCTGTTTATGGAAGCAAGCGACACCCGGACGGACTGCTTGAAGTTTATCCTCTAAACTTTCTGTGCGGCATCTGGCCTCAAAGTGAGTGAGCCCAAAACACAAGTCTTCTTTTCCTCTAATGTTGTGGCGGACTCGACCCGGGCATCATTGGCTCATCAGTTGGGTTTTCAGGTTGTCGATAATCTTGGGAAATATCTGGGTATGCCTATTATCCATATTCGAGTAAATAAGGCCACCTACGTTGAGATCCTCGAAAAAGCAGGGAAACGGCTGGCAGCGTGGAAGGCTTCTACTCTTTCCATGGCGGGTCGGGTGACTCTCGCTCAGGCAACCCTTAGCTCTCTGTCGTAATTCTCCATGTAAACGACTTCTCTACCTTATGGGGTTTGTGATAGCCTGGAACGAAAATATCGAAATTTTGTTTAGGGAGGCACGACAGATTCAAGAAAGGTTAGCCTTGTCTCTTGGTCTGAAGTATATCGACCGAAGGACGAGGGTGGCTTTAGAATGAAGGAGCAACGCTCGATGAATAAAGCCCTTCTTATGGAACTTGCTTGGAAGTTT